CCACAAGTGCTATTTTAAAAGAAAAGATGAAAAAGGAAACACATGGCTATGAGCCTTGAGATCAAGCTCAGGAGCTCTGCCAGTGCACCATTTTGGTCCAGAACAGTAGTTCTCCGACTCCCTTGCAGAAGGCCTTAGTGTGAAAATGTGAGAGGGCAGCATAAGAAATACAAGCTGGGAGGCACTTAAGGCACTGTTAGCCTTATCCCCAGCACCTCCAACCCACATCTGCACCAGTCCCATAAGGTGCCCACTAACTTTTCTGTTAAAATCTCAAATTCCAGAGATTCCACAACCTGCCCAGGAAAGGTATTCCAGAGCTTAACTCTTCCTGCTGTCAATGCCAACTGCCCATTCTGATGTCTAAGCTAAATGCTTGTCTCCTGCTGCAATGTAATCTGTTTTTCTTGTCCTACATGCAGCAGTGAGGGAAAGCGTTTATTTCCTCCTTTGCAGCTACCTCTTCGATTTGAAAACATGTCTCTCCCACCACCTTGAAACAAGCCCAGTCTTACATCCTGCCATCCCTCTCATTGCTTTTCTCTGGTTATCTCCAGCTGCTCCACATTTTCATGAAGTGCAGTGCCTACAGCTGGATACCATCTTCCAAGAAAGGCTTTCTACTACCACATGAGGAAGGAGGACCACGTCATGTATCTTACAGACTACATTCCTGTTCATACATTCCACAACATTTTTATTTTTTTTCAGGAACAGGATGCTCTTGAATCATGTTCAGCTGGTGACTGGCTGTAACCCCAAGAGAACTCTTCTGTACAAGTGCTACCCCAGCAGCCTGTCCTGTCCCATCCTGTATTTGTTCAGCTGATTGTTGCTTCTGCTGAAGTGTACAAATACGCATTAGTCAAATCAATTTCTGGATTTACTGAATCACATTCTAACTCTTCTGAATTTATCAAGTTCATTTTGAATTGTCATTGTTTTCTACTTGGTCAGTAGTTAGCTCAAGTCTGGTGCTCCCTACAATTTAATCAGCATATGCCACCTAAATTGTTAATGAATATACCAAATAACATCAAATCAGAGAAGAACTGTAGAGAATCCCACTCAATACATCCTTGCAGTCTGACTGTGAATGATTAATAATTACTCTGAGTAGGGTTTTCTAAACAGGTTTTTATAACCTCACTTTTAAGTTGGTGTCAGACCACATTCCCCTACTTTTCTTACAGAAAGTCATTAGAATCACTTAAAGTAAAACTGTGCTCACTGCCTCTCCTCTGTTCAAGAAGCTTGTTACCTTGGTGTAGAAGGAGCAACATTAGTTTGACACAATTTGATCTTTCTTTCTTTTAGAAGCTTGCCGAGTTTCCCTTTTCCATTTATTTTCCAGTTTAAACTATTAACCCTGAGTTCTGAACAGATGCGTGGAAGCAGAGAGACAAGCTCAGCCTTCAGAGTTCACAGCATCCCCCTTTATCTCTAATGCTTGAAAATAATTTACCATATGGGGTATCTGATCTAGGCATGAGGATAACTACTGTTGTTGTGCTTGCACTGCAATCTCTTACATATGGCAGAATAAGTAGAGCTTGTCTAAGCGAGGATGAGAGCCCTTGAAGTATTCGCTACTCTGCCCTAACGTCACACAACACAAGGACAATGAAAGCCTTTTGCTCCTGTGTCTATCAGTCCCTCCTCCATTGTTGCAAGATTTCAGTGACCAGCTATTCCAATGAGAAGTCATATCTATGAAACAGAGATGGCTCCTCAGCTATATCCTGCACTTCCTTCAAAGATCTCAGCTGACTGAATTAAAAAACAAAAAGCATACAGCAAATAAAGTAAACATGCATCCAGTAATTATTTCCGGGCATCAAAAGCCATGTGGTGAAACTACTCCCAACATCAACTTTGATAATAAAAGTCTTAAATTAACCTCTTCAGGAAACCTTTGCAAAGATGGATGTGGATTCAAAGTATCAATAATTACACTTCATCAGCAAGACCTGATCATTTGGCAACTCCTATTTGAAGACGATGCACGACAATTTTTTCCTGACACATAAGTCTGTGCTGACTGGGGATATGATTTTTCTCAGGTCACAGTAAATACCTACTACGCTCATTAAATCAACTCCTTGTTTAAGGTGATGACATATGAGCGTGTAGTCATTTTTAGAAAATGAAATTTTCATCAATAAGCCAATAGTACCCTTCCTTCTATGGAGTTTTCCCATCACATTTCTTGATACTTTAAAAACACTGAAAGGTATTGCTGTCTCACTCTAGGCAATTATGTATTTGGACAAATCCAACATTTTTCCAAGTGATCTTGTGTTTTGTGACTCTCTTACACTACATTTATATGGTTCTAAAGTGCATCCTTGATGTAGCTGCTCTTCTGCAGTGTAACTATATTACACTCTGCATTCCCTTGGTATCTTAGTCTAAATTAATTTGCTCTCAAAAAAAAAAAAGTTCTTGAAAGGTGAGAATGGGAACCTTCAGTAAGTCAGTCACTTCACATTATTAACTAGTGGTAAATGCAAAGCAGCTTACCCATTGCACAAAGTTAAGAAGAATACACAAATATGCAGAGTTACCACTGAGTAAATGGCATCCTGTAAGTATGCATTCTCACTTCTCTCCTGGTATAGTTTTCATGGGCCTGTAACTTCAATAGGAAATACTGCATTTATGCATTAAAACGACAGTTTTAGAAGTTATGCTTTCAGAAAAAGGACAGATATGCAAATATGAAATTCATAACTCATTTATTGAATATATATATGCAAGGATACCAATAAAAAGAAACTAATACTGCAAACTACAACTTTGGAAGTAAAGCCAATATAACAGGAACAAAATATACATAACATTGTAGATAGGAATGCATTTACCCTCTTTCATACATTCCTTGTCTTTACACCTAATGTAAATGTATGCTAGAGCAAAAGCTGCAAATGTTAGCCTAACCTGAGTGCTTTTTGACAAGCAACAGTTCTCCAGGATTCTTTAAGGGTTGAGATGTCACTGCTGACTAATGAATGAGCATATATATGCATATACAGAAACTGCTTCAACAAGTATATAAACCAAGAGCTGTGTTCTGTTTTTTAACCTCCACCACTAATACAGTGGAATCTGTTTCTGGTGACATGGAAGAAGAGTTACTATTTGCTATAATGTACCTTCAGTTCTCTTAAGATTAATTTCATCTAATGAGGATTAATTTTCTTGTCAATCTGATTCAGCGTGTTAATATTTTTGGAATGCACTGATTATCACCTGCCAGGTAAGTCTGATATTTCAAACAGATTATCACCTCTTCATCTTTCACCCTGGTTTAGCATGAAGTTATTTTTCCATATAGGCAGCAGTAAGAAGCAAGCTCTCTTCCTTTGTATTACATTTTAGGGCCAGATTTGGTATAATCATACCATTCTAGATCAGCACAGCTCTTTGTACCTAAAGATCAGACGTTGTGGAGTGTAGGTGTAACTCCTACTAGAGCCTTATCACAGAACCTCCTATGGATCAACACCTGCTGAATAAGTAGATCTTTTGATCACATAATCTATTTCATCCTAGCTAGCTGCACTGATGCTGATATTGAACCGGCCTTTCACCCTTCCTTGAAATGGAGTGATAGCACAGCTTACTGCTATAGTGTTTGATCACGCCTTGAGACTCTGGCATTACACCAGCTGTGTCCTCAAGTTATTTGAACAATATCCTTCTGATGCCTGTCCTTCCTTGGTACAGTCCTTTCTTGGTATAGCACAATCGCAGATCTGTTAATATAGAGATACAGTGAGTTGGGGAGATCTGTTAATATAGAGATACAGTGAGTTGGGGAGAAACCTCCCTTTCTCAGAGGGTTCCAGGCGTCTTAAACAGCACACACTACTCTTGTGAGCAAAAGGAATGCCCAAAGGCCAAAAAAAAAAAAAAAAATTAAATAAAGTGAAACCAGTTTCATAAGACAAGTTTTGTTAAATTCATGAGTTCTCTGATTGTGAGATGAAAGCAGAAGGTGCCTATTAAAAAAAAATCTCAGTAACAAATAGACTGCATTAATTTAACTAGCTAATTTAAACATACCTATTTCACCTATAGAGCACTTTCATTACTTCTAACATTTCTGGGAAGGCAGTAGATGCTCCAGAATAATCTTCAATATATGCTTGCAAAGATTACATTACTTTACCAAAAAAAAAAAAAAAAAAAAAAATTAAAATTTCAGACTGTCTGAAATTCCAAGCTAAAATACACATAAAAAGACAGTAATGGCAGTATTTTGTCTTTAAAAAAATGATGTAAATGTTGTATACTATCATACATTGTCATGCTTTTTAAAACTACAATTAAGGACGTAAGAGATGTACAGTAAATACACTGCTGAGGTACATTTCTTCTAAATATTAACACCACGACAGAATTACTCCCCAGCAGGTGATGCTACTTGGGAACATATAAATACAATTTTTACATTGTAAGGCACTTTTACCCAGCATACATGAGTTGAAGTCAGTCATGACAAATCTGAGGCTCATAAGAAAAGATTTTTGCTTTTGACTTTGTTTCCATGAATTCTGAATTAATGACAGTTTAGTCAGGCCATCTCAGCACAAAGAGGTAACAGGTAAACCAGCCACTTACTCTTCTGCTACCCAAAGGTAAAGTGCTGTTCCAGTTCTTCGAGGCATGGAATGGGGTAATTTATTTCATAACAGATGAATTACTGGACTGAATATTGTACTAAGCAACTGACACACTATGAATTAGAGCTCAGTCTCAAATACAATCAGTATGCTGGCAGATCTACCCCATGCAACCTTAGTTAAAATACAGTAGCTGCAAACAAAGTGCCTTTTTTCCATGGGAGGGCCATGTCTGAGGCACAAATCTAGAAGTAATTTAAACATTGAAGGATGTTATTTTGCATTCTAAAACTGTTCTGAGTGGCTGAAAAATGTTCATATTCTAGGAGAAACAAAACACCTTGATAGACAATTTCAATAATCGATCTGTCATTGCAATTCAAGTCACGCTTTTAATTTTGAAAGTTACAAATACAAAATAAAAATGATCAATGGCATCATGTTTAGAGCAGTAACTGAATATTTTCTGTACAGAGCAATATTTCTTTCCAAAATGGCATTATTCTCCAGGAAAGCAAACAGAATTGATTGAATTCTAACAGGGAAAATGTTAGAAACTCCAATATACAGTAATTGAGTCCCTCAAGACATTAAGGGAATGCATAAGAAGACAAATGACACACGTTATATCTTTTAAAAATACAAGTAAAAAATGCTACAGAAACTCATGTTACAAACGAACTGTTTTTGCAATACCAATCACAGAAGAACTGTAGCAGTTTATAGTCAAATCAGTGTATTTTGCTTGTTTCCTTCCTTCAAATCCAGAAGTTTTGTTGGGAGTTCAGAGTGAAACAAGTCAAAACCCTAAACAAACAATAAGGTGATGGATAGCAACAGACAAACATGTGGACTAGATTCAGCTTTTTGGTTTTATTTAAGTAAGTCTGAGAATGTGCTTTAACAGACCAACTGAAGAAGCTAGTAGCCATTAGAAATGACAAGGTGTTTAGAAAGCAGTCAGAGGACTGATCTGTTAGGTTTGGTATAGCCTAGATCTGATTATTCCCTAAAGGAACATCAAACTCTAGCAAGTAGAATTCCATGATGTGATTGTTGACTTGACAGAAAAAGAAAAAATAATCACTAAAACAATAAGGATGATAAGCAAAGTTTCTCATATAGTGGTCATAAGATTAAAAAATAAATACCAATCTAGCAAAAAAGGTTGTTTCCTCATTCTTCTTACAGAATATGGGACCTTTATGCATATTCTGGACAAAACATGAAGTGTTCCACACAACACAGAACACTTGAGGTATGGACGTCAGATATGGTGGCTAAATTCCATAGTGAGTTAAGAGTTGTAACTCTCTGAAGTAAAAGAGATTGGGCTGCAGAGGCCAAACGTTTGCATGGTAAGGTTTTAATCACATTTAGTGAAGCATTCTTTGTAAATCAGGGACACAGAAAGAGGTGGGTCATTGGGGAAAGAATGAACTACAGCCCTTTGGCATGAGTTCTAAAGCTCACAGCTCAGAACCAACAGCTGCTCAAGTAAATCTCCCGCAAACAATGCTGGGCGGAATGAGCAATCACAACAGGAACAACCTGAAATGTTCAAGCGTGCTTCGGTGTACACTGAGTCCTTTTCTACTGTGTGCTTTGCAAGCAAAAACAGAGAGCGGCTTTCCCATGTATAGCCTCCGTAACTTGTGTATGAAGAAAATGCAAAATTCACAAAGTACCAGCTTGTTGCCACCACGAACTTGTCCATGTTGTTAATTAAACTAGCTAAGACCTTCCCTCATTGCATGAATCCACTAAACAACTTACACATTCCAAATCTTAAGGTTTTTATTCAGTCCAGAAATATAGATCTTACTTCATTTCAATGTCTGCCTTAACTTTTGACACTGTACATATTACATATCATTTATATAGTGTTTCATTTTTTCCAGACACTGCAGACTACAAACTACATAATATTGACATGTAAAACTCTGCCACTTACTGAAGGCTCACACACATGAACGTTTCAGGCAGTTCAATGAAATTTCTAACAGAGTTGGGTAGTAAAAAGTTACTAACCCTTTTCTGATTTTAGAAAACAATTTAAAAGAATTAGTAGTTATGATGTCTTAGCCATTCCCAGTTCTATAACTCTGTCCCTTGAACCTGTTTAAAAAATGATGAAAACAATAGTAAATTTAAAATCATACAGAAAGGCATTTAGCAGCTCTGACATTACATCTATATTTAGCAATAGAAATGAGGGCCTCCCTTCTTATACTAAGTCAGCTGGATTTAAAAAACGACAAATCCTCCCCATTTTTCTATAGTATGCCAATAGAAAGTTCTCATCTGCATACACTAGATTTAAATACTTCACTGCAATGAACTACATTAAATGTATATTGCGTTTCAGTCTCGGTAACAGATCTGTCAGGAGTAACTTCCATACCTAGTTTCCATTGAGCTGCTGCTGAGGAATGTCATTATGGTCAGTGCCTGATTTGCCACGGCTTTTGCTTTCTCTTTCTTCATCCTCTTCATCTCTTTCATCATTTCCACTATGGTTTTTACAATAGAGTCTAGCACAACAAAAGAAACAGTGAAGACTTTTACTGAAAATACCTATCAAAACCAGACTTTCCTCTCAATTAGTTTTGAGATGTGCTACAAGCCAATTGCTAACTCTTAACTCATTCATGGTTTTCAGTCAAGCATCAGTTAAAATGAGAAACAAGGTTGAAGACTAGCCAACAAAACTTTGATCAATTCTAGTTTTCAAGAACTGCTACTACACTGCTCGGAGCATGCCCTCTTGTGGGCACAACCACACTGGCAACTCAACTACAGCCAAGTCACTAACACCGGCAGTATGCAAACTTAAGGGCTCCAAAAAACCAAAAATAAGCTACAAAACATATCAATATGGAAGAATCATGACATAAATTATCCAGGGTTTCCTCAATATAAATAACAGATTAATCGAGGAAGAAAATATAAGTCGTCAATTAATTTTCTCATTTCTCATATTACAAGACTACTACAGAAATTTTAAGTTAGCAGAGTAACTGAAATATTTTGCAAAGTCAACAATTACTTAAAAATACCATTTTAGATGAAATAATATTCTCTTTTTTAATAACATACGTGACTAGCCAAGTTAGGCTGAAAAAGTTCCATGAAATATCTTCACTTTCATTATAGATTCAAGAATTACATAAGTCCTTACTTATAAATTCCTCGTGACATATTCTCAATGTATTTAGCTTTGTCTTCTACTCCACAGTGGTAATGGTATGTTTTTATGCAGGCTTTAATTTCACACCCAATAGTAGCACCAGGCTGGCTGCAAAGTGTGCATTTCTGTGCAGGGGAAAAAAAGAGAATGGCACTGTTCAGCCTTTCAATCTCTTGCCTCTTAGTATTCAGTTTAGTGTTGCTCATATTTATGGCTACCATTTTGGAACAGAGTAATTCTCTGGCAGATCATCCTTCCAATGAAAAGTTAATCAAAGATATTGTAAAACAGAAACTACATAATACTAACCTATTAAAATATGATCACTAGGATTTACCTGTCCATTGCATTGAAAATTGCTACATGATTGCACGTATTATTGCATTTCCAAGATCATTTTATTGCCACTGAAGTTACTACGCTAATATAGGAAGTCTTAATTTTTTTTTTCCAAGAAACAATATTGTTAGGAGTTGTTTGTTTTCTTTTCCTCCCCATAAATTTCTTACCACTTTAAAAACATCCTGAATTTTAATAAAATACAATGTGACATTTTACCAACATCCCCATCTCTGAGGCCTTAATACATTTTCATAGTAAAACATCAAAACAGTGGGAAACATGTCACTGCAAGAACATATTCTTTAAGTTTATTTGTAGTTTTACACAGTGTGCTTTTAGTAACCCAGGATCTAAAGCTGTTACTCTCTTATAGTTACAGGAAGGCTAATAATAATTTACTATGTACATTGTCACAAAGAAACCTAAATACCATGTTCCCAAACACCAGTAATTTTTAAGGTGATTCCTGTCTGGCTACCTGTCCCAAAAGTAACAATACATTTAAATTTTGTGTTTAGAAACAGATTGAAAAGATTGTTTCACGAAAGGAAGGAGGCAGAGCTATATACACCGTAGTAGAATCAGTAACACATTCATCACATCCTGCAGATACATACCATTCTTTTTCCTCTCTTGATTTCTTGAAGTACAGTTTTGATATCAAAATCACCAAACTCTGCCCTTGAAGTTGTTGTTAGCTGGACAGTGCCAGAAGAGAACAACTGTAAAACAAGCAAGTCAAAATAATTTCAGGTCACCAACATGATTAGAAATTTTTTTATGTGCAGGCATAACCTAATAGAGAACATCCCCTTCTGTGATCGCAGACAGCATGTGCTTTACCAACAACCTAGCAAAAAACCCCATACTGAGTAATTAGTATGATGAGTATTCTTTCTGATACCCACCTGACTGCTTTAATTACGTTTGTTGCCTTGGAGAAATGTATTTTAAAAGACAAAGGAGTAGACAAGAAAAAATGACACGATGAAAACACAAAGTAATAAATGGGCAATATTATCAATTACACCACTGAACTTTTTAGGAATACTCCCATTTCCTTCCCCATGACATATATGTAATTCAGCTTCACGGCACAGCTGATGTCAACGTACCTGAAAAGGCCTGAAGGATGACAATAGAGCACATAAGTACGATCCCTATCATCATCATCCTGGTATATTCAGTTTAAACTGTCTTCAAACCAAAGCTCAGGTACACAAAGTAGCAAAGAATACTCTAAGACTCAAGGCTGCTGGCACACACCAGCTCTCTGTTTAGTGAGGCTAGGTATAGGAAGAAAATTAATACTCCACAGATTGCCTGGACTATTTATTCATTTTGAGGTACAACAGGAACCACTGAGGTTTGTTACTCAAAGCCCCACCTCATTCATACAACGAGTTATATGAAAGATAGTGCTATCTGCTCATGTTCATTGAAATGAGCAGATTCTTTTCAGGCTGACAGTTCTATAAATGTGATCATCTAAAGGCAAGGGCTAGAACTTCCATGTCCCACTCGTGTCACACAGCCCAAATCCCCTGGTCAGAAAATTAATGAAGTTCATGGATTCTTCCCAGATTTTGTCTGAATGCCTATGGAGTAAAGGTATTTTATTTTTGGAGTGGATTCTTTTAGTTAAAACTCTTTTCTCTTTTCTTTTTAAATATCGTGTATGCATTTAGATGCTAAGGGAGCATTTTTAATAAGTTAAAGAGTCTCCCTGAGCTAATTCCAACTCTTAGCACGTAGCCAACTTTTATCCATATTGTCTGCAGTGAAAATAAATTAATTGCTCACTTCGCAATTCTGCGGCGCTTAAAGAGATCACTAGCACACAGACAATACTCGTGCATAATTACATGTGAGGGTACTGTATTAAAATCTAAAATAGCAATTCAGACAAAATTCACATAATAGACTGGTTAACAGAAATACTGTTACTCACCATGCACTTATAGTGTGCTGCAGCCTTTTTGGCATTAAATATATGAAGCTTTCCTCTAGCTTCATTTTCTTCTTCACCTGCATGACAGAATCCACATTTAGGTTTTGTATCACTGGGGCTGCTTCTGTGGGGAGACCTGTCTCTCTGAAAGAAAAACATTTTACTAAAATATACTGCTGGGTTACAAGTAAGGTTGTAATTTTAAAAGCCTATGGCCACCAGCTGGAGGCTCAGACAAATACAAGTTTTATTAAAAGTTAAATTTGCAGAGAAGAAATATGCAATTCTGTCTTCTAAGAAGTTTAGCATATTTACTGCTTACATAGGAACTGCTTTCTATTTCATCTGTGCCATGTGAGGACGTAGATCTAGTGTCTTCTGATTGCCCTTTTAAATTTGTTTTTCTTGGCTTTCCCTTACGACCCCTCCTTTTTCCTTTGGGAGGTGAAGGCTCCAACTCATGTTCATTGATACTTTCTTCTAAATCTGCTTTAGAAGTTAGAAAACATCATCAAATAAGATTCTCAAAAATTTTACGCAAAACAAAACGAACAACAACAAACACAGACAAGAAAAAACATAACCTGTATTTTGGTCAGAAATAAAAATAGCAACTTTTTCCCACTTATTACAAACATGCAACTGCAGATCCTGAAAACATTATTTACTTCTTTATACGTATCACACACCTTTGCATCTTCATAACATATGAAGAAGGTTTAGCATTTCTTACAACTTCTACTTTCAGACCCAGAATGTGACCTCAGATACATATATCCACCTCCACTGAAAATCAGAGTCATTTAAACTACACTGAAACCAGAAAATGTTTTCAACCATGAAATAAGCTTTTATTTTTTTTTTTTAAGATGCCTAACTCCAATGTAAATTGCCCTTGATATTATGCCAGTGTATCCAAATAACACCTCTCTCCTTGCTTTATTAATTGATGCCTTTTGACTTAAGAAGAAGATTCACCCATTTTGGCTATAACATTAGCATCAAGTTTTAAAACTGAAATGTATTTTGCCTCCATGAAACAAATCTAAGATTTCATTTTAGTTACAGTATATTTTTACATCTACAGCTAAAAGCAGCTGCCAGTTTACAGAAAATCATCCACACTGACAATATCCCAAATAAAGTATTTATAGGCTATTAACAATATAAGAAAGTGTATTTTTAATACAGACATACCAAAGAGGTCTGACAAGTTCCTTTGAAAATGTCAGCTCAACTGCTGAATGGTACATAGAACTGTAGTCCAGTATTCTAGCAGACTGTCCTTTTGATTACTCAAAGCTCTACAGTTATTACAGATCAATTCTGCAAACTTAAGATTGCCCAATATGATCTAGTTAAGCTATATCTTATACTGAATAACCAGCTCTATTCAGTCACTAACAACCTCCCTGATCATCAGCTGCTCACAGAAGCATCTTTCTTTTTTAATATGTAACACCCACCCCTGCTCAAACTGCAAAGATATTTCAGCAGACTTGTTTAAAGAAACATGCACACACACTGCTAAAGAACTGCCTTCTCAAAATCCAAACCACAAACTTCAGTATGAACACCCAAAGGGAAGGAAATCCTAATCAGAAGATTTGGAACATCTACTTTATACAATTAACTAACTGTTGTGGTATTATTATTTAAGTATTGCCATAGCACTTATTGCCGTTCTATCGTGGTCTCAGTATCCAGACAGGACATCTTTTTTTGAGACTAAATGCTTCGCCAGAACTCATCTTTCTTATCTATTATCACATAAAAATCAAATCACATTTCTATCTCATGATTAACAGCAACTCAACTGCACAAAAGTTTGAAGTCAAAGACTTGAACATATTCCACAGCCATCAACTTGAAGATAAGTGAACTACTGGCCCGAGGCCTTGCAAGCAAGTGTATCCTATTAAGCTTAGTCTATCATATCTCTCACTAATCCCCGAGAAAGCTACAGCTTCTTGCACATTTATTAATGAAGGACAGAAAACTAATCCAAAGGCACCACAACAGGTTATACTGAAACATAATTCCCTCAAAGCTTTACTCTGTTGTATGGTTAGAAAGAGGCAAAAATTTGAGAATAAATTAATACAAATCTGCAAATTACTTTGGCTTAAATTGACAGATTATTCAGCTATACACAGATATTCCCAAGTTGCTACTAAAATACATCAGTCTACCACAACGTTCCTATGCTTTAATATATATACACTATGCTTTTCTAATTAGATGACAAAAGCACCATTTATTTTACTCTGAAAAAATAAAGTATATGACATGGATTATCTAATGAAACAATACATTTTACATTTTCTTCTCAGAATTTATGATCTAACATTATTTTTCATTTATCATTACGTGCTAAATTCCCCAAGCAAGATTATGCAATTTAGGTATTGTACCTCTCAGACTCCATACAGCAAATTTTATTACAACCTGAAAATGTCTTTCAAAGAAGAATTCTTTTTTATCTTGTTCCTCATCATATGGGCTCTCCACCAATGTATGAAAAGAAATTTGTGAATCTTTGTCTCTACTTTTACATTTACAGAAATCACAAATGGTTATTCTAGAAAAAAAAGTCTTAACAAAATGTGACTATTGAATTTGTGACCCTTTAAATAACATCAGTAAGAAGTTAAAAATAATCCTTCAAAAATCATTCCACGGTTTTCCCTACTGTATTTGATGAAGCAAAACGTAGTCCATTCACCAACATTCCTTATTTTTTCCAAAGCTCCTTATCAATTCTGTCAATCATAATGCTTTCCACCTCTTAGTCCACCCTTATTTTCCAAATACCATTAAAGCATATTCTGAACTCTCTACAGTCACACTTTCAAAACTAGAAGTGAATCATAATTGCTAAAAACCAAGCACACGTTACGAAGACCAACTTTTTACAAGAAATGTCACAGACTCCTTACAGAATAAGTTCTTAAGTGCTATTTTTAGCCTACAATTATTAGAATATTTAAGATTTGAGAAGTAAAAATGCTACATTTTTAAAAGATTGTTTCAGTGTAAGATAAAAAAACCATCAAGATCGCCCAGCTTTCCTCAAAGGAGAACCCCTTTTCTGTACTCAAAACTAGTACTCCAAAAAAGTTCAGAGTTCATCAAAATCTAGATACTACATGACCCCTTCATTAAAATAAAACTCCTTGCAGATTCAGGTCTCCTACTACAAGTGACATGGACCTACAGATTAACACCACCGAGATGCGAGGATCTGCTCTACCACATCTATCTGCAAGACTGATACCTCAAAACATTAAAGTTTCTCCCATTTTTAACAGCACTATGAACTAGTGTAACAGTACAGGAAGAAAGAGATTGTAACCAGCTTTAAAATACACCTGCCTTGGATGGTCTTTACTGTTTAATATACAATTTGGTTTGTGCCCTATCCCTCCCCTCAAGCCCACTGCCAGCTTACCCTGTTTCCCTGGCATCTGATGGTTGGGTGTTTCCAACTTCTCATGTCAGCTTGAACTAAGGAAAACACAAAAAGTTGTTCAACTCCTCCCTGACCAGATGACGTTTTATCATGGATATCACCCATACTCTGAATCCCCTGAGATTCCCTAGATATTCTTCAGCTGCCCCCCAACCCATATCTCCCATTACTGCATTGATTTTTAAAATCATCACAATATTCTCAAGATAACTTTATCTAAAGTCTTCAAAGGAGGTATCTTATGAGCTTTCTTCAGAAGTCCCTAAATGCTATATCTGAAAAAACAAGCTTAATATGCAATACGGTCTGAGAAGGAGGGGTGGGGGTAGAAATCGAGAGGAAACATGCTACATTTTAAAAAGCACCTAAGAACATGATATTGTATATTCAGATGAGCGAAAAGATGAGCAGCAACAAGCCCCAAATTTGCATTTTAGATATCCATAAGCAGTACAAAGTACCACAAAAAGAAGACTAGCAAAATGCTGTATTACATAAACTGTTAACAGGGAGACTCAGCTTCAGAGAGAAATCTAAAAATTCTCCTTTGATCATGACTAGAAGGAAAAAGGATCAAGATGTTTTGCTGTTTAAAATAAGGCTTGGCAGAGAAGAGGTTGAGATATCACTGATCTATTCTGTATCACATCAGCTGGAAATATACACGGAATCACCCTTTTCCAAAAGCTAGGTTAAAGCAAAGGAATAAAAGAATTAAGTGATTTAAAGGTTGTGAAAGAACAAATAAAAAGAGGATGTGTACAATAAAGGCTAATACTGCCCTCTGTATCCACCTCCTACATTACCTTAAACAATAGATTAAGTGAGCCAGAAGCAAAGGGGGCTAAGTCTGTATGAGGAAGATAATAAACAAAACTGACTGGCAAAATATATTTGCAAGTAGGACTGTACATAAAAAGAAGCCAAAATGTAGAATGTGGAAGTGGTTTAGACATGCTGTTAAGTAAATCTGAAATCACACATATGTATTTAAAGTTTCACAGTGCATTTGGGATAAAAGAGAAACTCTACAAATTACAAAGAACAAAATCAACCTTACTAGATTTTTAGAAGATAAACAATATAACAGAGAAAGAAAAAAGTACTTTAGCATGTTAAAGTAAGATGTCCTTAAAATATGGCTGAAACACAATGAACCGTATGTGGCAACTTAATTATTTTAAATTGAAAAGAAATGTCAAAAAAACCCGAAAACCTTATTGTCCCAGTAGCCAATAATAAAAATGTGAATGCATCTATAAGCATTAATAAGAACCAGAGATTTGCATAAAACCACTTGCAAGTGAATATAGAATCCGGTAAACCGATCATGAAATAATAGCAGCTCTTATCAGCAAATGATGTGAAATTAACGATCAAAATGCTGAATATAATTTTTAGTTTCCTTTTTTTTTTTTAATGGAAAAAGACTTAACTTACATTAAATGTATCTAAACTGGAAAAAAGTAAGAGTGGAGAGGAAAAAAATTAAATTACCCCTTAGGTCCCGTCATTAATGTTTTCCAAAAGTACCAGATACCTCAAGGAACTGCTGCCTCTTGTTCAAAAGCTATTTTTGACTGAATAGTACCTATGTTATGAAGTACTTGAGATTATTTCTTTAATTAAGTACATTTAACATAGAAAATGAATAAAATATTCATAACCATACAATCTAAACGCTTTTTCAAGCAAGCAATTGTTGGCAAAGACTGAAGACAGACAATAGCTTATCTGCATAATCAGAAAGCTTATGACAACTGGTATGATAAACCTGTTAAGTATGAGTTAGCTGACCAAGTTTCTATTTGTATAACATCTTGCCTAGATAGGAAGGAGAATTATAATGTAAACACCACGGGACAGCTCCTCAGATAGGACAAACCATTCACCACATTACTTCTACGTTTTTTCCTTTTCCATTAGCTGTGCGTTTTTCCATATGAAAACACCATTGTGATGTTTCTGCAACATACCTCATTAGTCTATAATGGACTGCATAGGAGATTGCTAACTTACTGCCTGGACCAACTGTTTTTGTCCTAAGACTACCTATATATTTGATGCCACATTCAGAGCAGCATTCTCTGTAAGACAGATGAGAAGGGTGAGTTAACAGAGCCTAGGAAGAATTTGTTACCATCCACCAGCAGAACTGAAATGACATTGAACTCCAATGTTAGGGAAACTTCTATACCTGACTGCATTAATGCATACAATGTTAGGCAAGCTTATGCTGTGAACAGTGTTACAGAAAATGGAACTATGAACAAACACTGATTAAAGAATCCAAAGATGAATCAGGATGTTACCTAACTATAATGCCAAAAAGTTTCAGATGTTTTTCCTGCTAGCCTCTGGCTTACACAGTGGTTTGAAAAGGTACTCAGTTTGATACAGATTGCAGCATCTCTAAATAGGTCTCAGAGAGAAATATTATCCTGACTCAAGTTACTGAGCAGTATGAGAAGCATAGATTTCATGTTTGATCTTTAGAATAACATGAAAAGGATGCTGAGACAGGGAATGCCCTTATTTCCATTGTGGAAACATAATTCCCTGAGGTTTTGAGTACGGCTACAATAGGAATTATGGACACTTTATTTTCTGACCCCACAGTTCCCAAGCATCTGTTTTAAACATTAACAATAGATGGCTGTCTTCATTATTCTTTGTTTTACCACTATGTAACAGAAGAATGAAATTACAGTCTTATCTTAGTTTATATTAAAACTATTCCTGATCAGCTGAATTTGTTTTAAATTCAACACAGGGGCCAGGACAGCCCCACCTGCAGGGAACTGAAAGAAACCAGATTTTAAACTTTTCAACAATTATTTCCAGTACATTGGAATAAATTCCAACAAACAGTTCCAAAACCTTAGTTCAACAATACTCTATTATTCAAAAAGAATAAATGCAATTGTATCAAACTGAACAGTAATTCAGCTAATAGTTAGCTATGACAGTTTGAAAGCACTGGCACCAATTCCTGTAACCTATTAGGTACTGAAAACTTGCATGGCTTGCCTAAATTATGAATTAAACTATTACTTGAAGTTCAGGTCAGATTATTTTGTTAGATTTGTAACCAGCAAGACAAAAATCTAGACATGAAGCTTTCAGTAACTTGGTCTGCTCCTCTGAGCAGGTGTCTTCAAATCTGTTGACCTCACAACCACAGCCTAGTATAAAGTGTGAGAGTATCTCACTTTTACTGTCCTTCTTCCAGTTAGTGAGAACACAGCACAGAAGAATCGATCTGAATTACATATACACAAAGGAAATATAGGAGAAATACAATTTTTCTGTTCTACGTCACCTGAAGGCTAGGCCATACAGATAAATTAGACAAAGGCAACAATCTGCTGAAACAGATAATGAATTTAAGAGCACAATACTTTGCTGCCATGTTTCATATTTTTATATTCAAAGAAAACAGAAGGTAGTTCAGCAACTCCTGTCAATTAAAGGAAAATGAACTCCCATCGCTCATTAATTTTGTCTTGATGAGTACAGAGATACTTAGTCTGATGAATTCTCGTACCACCTGAACTTCATGACAGCAATAAATAACATCCAAGAGGTCCTTTTCATTAGGTTTTAACTGGGTAACTTTAATTCCAGCATAGGTCCTTCAACTACATTTCCATGCAGTCTCAAGAAATTTTCTTTAAATGTTATCAAATGGTTAACATGTATTCTTTTTAAACTAGAACTTCTAACAAAAGGTACATTAGCCACATCTCGGACTTGAACGAGTATGAGCCCAAAAGCATATATTTTCTAGGGAAGGGAAGGAAAAATCTCACTGTTAGGCAGCAGTGCTGTCTACAGATAATACACTGTTCTGGACTGCACCAAACCAAACACTCCTAAAAACTCTTCCAACATCCACTAATAGAAATGACATAATAAAAATATTTGGACTGCAACAATTAAATCAGAGAATGAAGTATAGAAAACCAGATGTTCTACACTGACCAAGAAAAAAACCCCAACAGCATCCCAGAGCAGGAGCAGTTAAGTTTCCATTAAAAAGGACTGATAATTCCAGTGCCTCTGTGGACCTGCACTGAGTGACATAACCACAGATGAGCTTTAACTATTCTGTTATGAAAACACTGCTGAGAGCAAGGACTCACAAAAATGTAACAAAAACAAGAGAAAAAAAAAAGCCACTATGTTAGCATCTAGTATCCCCAGCAAGTCTATTCACTCTTCTCTGCAAGTCCTTTCTGGTTTCACACACCACCATTCTTTCACATTTAAATTCCTCTTCGAAACTCACATTTTCCTCAAGAAATAAACCAACAAAACACATACAAAAAGCTTAATCTCACCATCCAACATCTTCCAGTTACCATTTCACTGAGCAAACTTCAGTATTTAAATATTAACAAACAAACCCTTCAAAGTCCCTTCTTAAACTCTGAAAAGCATCTTGTATATATTTCTGTCTTCTAAAGGTAATTAGTTTCCAATGTAGCAAAATACCATTGCTATACAATGCTATAAGTAATTTCCATAAGACAGATGCAATATGTATTTTCACTTTTGTTGATTTAAAGGAGGTCTATCACAAAAGAGCCCCAGCTTCTGGCATTATCAAATCCATAACTGTAAGTAATAATATTCTATGGGTATAGTTCGCTAAACTATATGGACTAAAAAAAGAACCTACTCTTTGGGAAAGAGCACGGGATAAAATTTCAGTCAAATATTAAACAAAAACCAGAAAACAAAAATGTGAAGTATAACTACACACGTTTCTAGAAGTATAAAGCATAATAACTAAATATTTTAAACAAAAAAAGTGTGCAAACTTAAATGTCAAGTAAGATACTGTTGGGTTCTTTGGCCTCAGTACTTCTGAATTATGTTGTTTATTCCTCCTTCTCCTACCCTCAATCTAAGAGTCTCTTTGGATGAGTCTAGCTCAATATTTTAATAAACTGCCATTATCAACATTTAAGAAAAAAGCCACTATGCCTCTAGTAATTTTTCCTATGTCTTCTCAGACAAATATATCCATACAAAATTTAAAAGCCTTTGCTGTTAGAGAATGACATCGCAGAACTGGAGATAATGGTTTCTGAAAACTCTTAAAGGAAAGCACAAGTTCAGATCCTGCAAGGAATTTCAAGCAGAAAAAGTCATCCATTGGCATTGGGCTCCATGCGGAATTGGAGGCATTTTTCAACAGATGTCAAACACTGAGCCATTTTGTGAATAAGTATAAAAGATTATGTTTAAATATCAGTTAAAGAGATTAATCTCTTTCTGGACTCGAATGTCTTTCATAGTCTGTTTCTGCTAACAAGCAAAATGAACCCCAAAACAAAGAAACACAGTGCCAAACTAAAAGATAATGTGTCCCTGTCTCTTTGGAGAATACATACAACATGTATACTGCTTTTCTTGTTTAAACCTAGTAATAGCAAAACCAGAGTGTTTTATACAAAGCACACAACAATAATTACTTAAATAGACTAAAAAATATATTTTTTAAAAAAAATCAGTTTTCATTTGGGATTTTCTACTGCCTTCAGTATCTTTCTGAACATTGAAGTAACATCCAAACCTTACCATTAATGTACCTACTACCCACAGCATAAAAAGTAGCATATTACCTTAAAAATACATTTAGTAGAAAGAGACTGAAGTAATCTATGAAATTTAATCTTCACTAAATAGAGTCATGTACTCCTCATTAGTTAAATCTGATGACATTTCAGTTGAAAGTAATGCAACTGTTTGCTTTCCCAAATTCAGATACAGTAGGAAAAAGGAAAAATACCTGCATAAATACACAATAGCACAACTAGTTTGGAATTTTAACAAACCACATGATTTATCTACATTTGTGGCATATCACCCCTCACGCATTTCACAACTGTCCTCTGCAAAGATGCACAGCTTTTATGAATGTATCCATACAGCTTTTGTTGTTTATCAAAATGACTCAGAAATATATCTATAAGTGATCTGATCACAAACCTTTTCATTTACTATTGGGTTCTTCTTATTTGAAGAGTTAAACTCTATTTAATAGTTCAAAAAAATAGTGAATATTTAGGAACATTAGCAATAGCAAAAATCAGCTGTTACCTAACAAAATATTTTAGATGTTAATATTGTGAATATTTAACTACAAATATAAGCCAGCCTCTTCCCAGAAGGGAATGCATTACTTCTACCCAAACTTTGTTTTGACAGAACATCAAATCTTTCAAACATCCTAAAATTTATGTTTTAGGTTTTTCTCCACCTCAATCAATAATTTTTAGAGAAAATACAGAAATCAGATGGGCTTCCAAACTCATTGTTTCTCAAAAAAATGTAGTTCTAATTTTTACTGAAAACATTTATATTCTCCAGAAAAAATTAAATTTAACCAAGTATCTTTCTACAATGGGAAAAATTTATATTGAATAATTTTACCTTCAGAGTTATGCGTAGTTTTCTTGTGTTTTCGACATAAAATCCTATAAACAAAGTAGTTGAAAACTGTCAAGTCAGTCACGATTCACAGATTATTTACTCATCTTTTAAATTTAAATGCCAGTACATTTTTCTCCCACTTGTAAGACTCACTGATATACAAATCTTGCAGTGAAAATATGCTTTTCTAGCACATCACTATTTTGAATGCCACAATCATCATTAGAATTTTATTGCAACAGTTTTGTTTAGATTCCAAAGTGGGTTTTTTTTTTTTTGGTTTGCTTTGTTGTTGTTTTTTTTTTTAAACAAAGAATGTGAAATATAAATACAAAAATAAATATAGCAAATAAATAATAGTTACATGTAAATGCCTTGTGAGGGTTTCTCTCTTATCTGAGCTTTATCATGCAAAGCACAGTAGTAGTGATATGTCTTGTGACATGTTTTCACATCACAGCCAATGGTTGCTCCAGGACAATGGCATAAAGAGCACATCTGTAGAGAAAAAGCAAGCACAATTCATGTTACTGTTGGCTTAGTACTTCTGAGTTCAAAAATAATATAGTTACCACTCCTGGTGACAAAATAAATGGAGTTATGCACTTGGCATAACTCTTCGTGCTCTGAGGTTGCAGTTATACAATAGTACAATAACCATCATACATTGATTATCAATTCAATGAAGAAAATAAGTAATTTAGTTTTCTGGAACGTGTTTGATGAAAGTGACACAGCTATTCACCAAATATCCCACTCCCAAGGATAGTCTGTACCAACCATTTCAGAAAAGTTAAAATCATAAATCATACTTGTTTAGTACTGAATTACATTAAGAAGGTAGGTGGGGGAAAAAAAAAAAAAAAAAAAAGACAGCCATTTGGCAAAGAATCTTGCAGTCAGAAATACCAATGACCTGCAAATTTACCTTAGCCTCAGCAGCTAACTTTACCTCTATTTTCTATACAGTTATTTCCTTAAGTCATTTCCAAAACACTGAATTTAGTGAAGTATTTGTTAAATACGAGGAATTTATTTCAATTAGACTAAATTTTGCTCTTCATACTTATATTGCAGAAAAGGTTAAATAGGAGCCTGTTGCTTTACTCTCCCAATAATTAATTCTTCTCATATTAGACTCATCATTGCTTAGGATACACCAACTATCATGCTTCTAAATTGTTCACTGCGCTTCTTATGCTGTGTTAGGAAACGAAGTAATCGATAGTATGACAACATTTTTCTCTGTCTTAATTCTTTACTGACACAATATTGCCTCAAAATCTCAGAATTTCCCATTAAAGTCCCCTCCCAAGACAACTGGAGCTTTTTGTATCCTGCACATTGCCCACACCCCCAAAAGGTCACAATTAATTCCAAAACCATAAGCGTGCAATGTAGGATACTCCCTACATATATCTTTGTGGAATACACCTTCTGTCCACTGCACTAGCTTAGTCAAGTTCTTGTTCGTCTCAAATATGCCAAATAAATATGCCACCAAAGTTATATATCACCATCCTGTTTTTCAATTTTAACAAAGTTAACTGAACAGTAAAAATGTCAAAGCCTTGGATCATCTCCATTTACTCCTCTGCAAGCTCTGAAATGGTACAGTTATATACCGTTCCCTAGTTGTTATCTAAATTGTATGGGTATTTTATCTCATAAATTTGTTATACGTTATGGTTTAACATATAATAATGGCTGATCAAAGCTCTTTATAAAAACCTAGGTTGAAATTATATCCATTCAATCAATTTTAGTCAGTACTTCAGTATTTTGAAAGCCAGAAACGACTAAAAGAAAACTTTATTTTTATGAACACCATGATGTATCTGTATGAACAAAATTTTTATCCTGACTTATTGGTCTACGTTTCCTGACAGTAATAAAATATTTATTCCATTGGTACAAGTGCTGCTGTCCAAATGGTTGCTGTCAACAGATTAATTAATTCCCAAGCTATATCAGGTGTATGTCAAGTTTGACAAGCTGCAAAATAGGTAAGCTCTTTAAAAAAAATCCTCCCATGCACAGCTAACAGAAATACTAATGATATCAGTGCCTTGTACTCCCAAATATTTAGACTTCGTAAGTTTTTATGACCGGCCTATTAAGGTTTGAATGTACAAACTTTTCTCAGATAGAAATAGATTACCATCAGAAAGGCTCTACATGTCAGTCATTATCGCTTCAGTAATGAACAGGCCTCAATTTTCAGTGCATATCTGGTCAGCAGCAGCACCTTCTGAAGGAGGGCAACTACATAAAATCTGTCAGCAGACAAATTTAGTCCAAGCTATCAATATAATTACTTAACCCAGTGCACCACGCCGAGATATTTTTGCTCGATGTGTTCCCACATAAAAGAACAGGCTAGAACAGAAAGCAGATCTTAAAGGGGGTATTTGGGCTAACTATAAACATTTAGCTTTAAGCTTCCTATACAAGTCAATGGAGAAAGATTCCTCCAGAGTGATTCAGAGCTGTAGTTTTCTGACAGCTACAGAGAGAGATAAGGCATCTAAGTTAAGATCTAAAATTATCTTGTAAATTCTCTCCAAACAGGAAACATCTCAGGACTATGAATCTACTAGGTTAACCAAATCCAGGTTTTCTGCAAAAACCTGAACAAAGTGCCTGATACATACAGCTAGTGAGCTCCAAGAATATATCCAGCTGTTGCATCAGTGAAGAAACAAAAAGAGATTCAGAAGCAGAAAGAGAGAAACCACCAATGACATAAAAAGAAATAACGTTCAAAAAACATTTAAGAGACCCAAGAGACAAAAAGTTTCTTTATGATCTGTAGTTCCATTTACTACCATGTTCTTTGGAAATTCCTAATCACAACATGAATGACTTGTGAAGAGTTATTTCTTTATGCTTCAGCTAATTAGAGCAAATAAAGTTCCCTGTGTTGGAAAAAATTCAAATGAAACACTGGATGAAATATTAGACTATTATTATATAATTGTAGTTCTGCAGTAATACTTCGGACTACTCTTAGTAGGTCAAAAGCTGGTAAATACGTAAGAGTGCTCTAAATAACTAAGCTGAAAATTTTTAATGTGAGGAGTGAATTGATCACTTGTAAAAAATATTTTTAAAAAGCCTCACTCATTCCCCTGAATGGAAAACAACTAGTTCTAAATAAATAAATAAAAAAAAAACCAAACCAAAACTAATTAGCTTCTCAGGAATTAAAAAAGTCATTGCTGCTCAATTCTCATGAATTTGTTAGAGCTGTAATCACTATTGCACCCACATACCTCATAAGACATCTATATTCACAGAATCATCTACTAAATCAATATAAAAGGAAGCAATAAAAGTACCTTTGGTAGTTAAAACCAGATTTTGTCAGCAAAACCAAATACTGGTAAAAGCACAATAATACCCTTGCCAGGTCCCTAGAATGTGGGTTTCTTTCTGAAATCTAACAGAAAATATCAAATAGAAATTACTGGATTAGAAACATAAATTTAGGAAACGCTATTGTTTATATGCAGCCCATCAAAAAGAAAAACGGGCATATTCTGTAAATGAGTTTTCAAATTTGCTTGGAAAAAATGCCTATCTGCTACAACCACCTACATTGGCCAATGAGGAAAAAAGTGACTGTAAAAATAATAATTCTGGATTTATTTTTTAATAATTCCATGACTAAGCTACAATTCTTAAAACAACTTTACAGAAGGTAAGAAAACATTGTCTTCCATTTTGAAGAGCCAAAAATAGACACTTACCAGTTTAGTGCCTCTCTTTATTTCTTTCTGAATATCTTCAATAGAGAATCCACCAAGACTCTCATTATCAGTGTGTGAAGATACCAGTGCAGATGAGAACAGCTAAAATTATAAAAACAAAACTTATTTTTTAAGTTTTAAGGGTATAAGTGATACAGAACATTTATATCTATGAAACCCGGAAAAATTTTAAATTACAGTGATTAATCATTTGTGCCAGTGCCACAGCTGGTTAATTTTTTCATTTGTTTGTAGTCTTTTACTAGCTCACTAGTTCCTTTCCTTTTTCCTATGGGTTACTTACCATACATTTGTGATGTGCTGCCACCTTCTGGTTTTCCGACATCAATAATTGTCCACATTCATTATCTTTATTAGATCTACAAAAACCACACTTTCTTTGTCTTGAAGAGACTTTTTTCTGTCCAACTGAGCTTGTCATGATTTTAAATGACCTTAGAATGCCACTTCAATCCTCTCAATGCTACAGAAAAAAAGGTGCAATCAGCATGTTAACATCAACAAAAGGCAATTTAACTTAGTTTTGTAAATGTAATATTGGTTGCTTGAAAGTCATCTGTCCCTTCTTACCCTTTTCTTTACGCTAGTTCAATATATCCAAATAAACGTGCACCCAGCAGAGGCAGTATTCTGCCAACTTTTTATGAAATTGTACCAGCAAGCAGAATTAGTTATTTAGGCAAAAAAGTTTGAACATTAATATAAAACTTTCAATACTAACATAAAACTTAAGGGGGAAAGAAGAAATAGGTGGAAAACCCAACAAGTACAGTGATCATTAGGGGAAAAAGTTAGTGCAACTCTCATCCTATTCTTATAGTTATTTATTACAGCAAAGGTAATTGTAGAAAATGCACTACCTGTGCATGCAACAGAGTTCATGCTACTGAACTTCTTCAAAAACAGAAGCAAAGAAAAACCCAAGTGTCCAGCATAGCATCCAGAAGAGGTTTTGAGTATAAAAGCTCACAAAGTAGCACCGCAGATGAGTAACTACCCTTAGATGAGGGTAGAGATGAGAAGATAAAACGTTACCATTTTAGGTATTTCACTGATACACTGTGGCTAGTCAAACAGCATTAGGAACAAAATTTTAGAAGGATCTATGACTAATGCGCTGCAATGGAAACCTTTTCAAGACCCACAGTTAATTTAGCAGTACCATACTGGTTTTCAGTAAGTGCATGAGAGGTGCTATTCTCATCTAAGAAAAGTAACTTAAAATTAAACTCAACATGAATCACAAACTTTTCATGTGTTACCAGCAATACATTTTTAAATATAGCATTGAGGTCCCAATTCCCTAATCAGGCAGACACTGCAAATTCAAAAGTGAAAATACCTAACGACTGTACATGCTTCTTGTCCCAGTATTAAGTAGTTTGTGTTCATTTGCTTCTACAACTTTCAAGAAATAAAATACCATCCTCTTCAAATAGACTTTCTTACAGCTTTTTATTTTGGAGATTTGAGCTTTACTGTCAGAATTGGGCACAACTGCAATAAAAGCATCCTCCTCAGCCTTTGTTTACATTAGATTCATCTAAATAAGAAAAGCCACCATATAGTTTGATATTTCTGTTGGAAAAAAATATAAAATCCAGCCATAAGAATAGCAGAGTTGCAATACATCCAGACTGTGCAATGGCGATCTGCACGAAAATGCACGACTGTGTTCTGAAATTTGCATAGGCAAACCTGCCTGCTTCTCAGTGCTGTCAGACTCTCATAATACTAATATCACTCACTATTTTTCTAATCAAAAGCAGAGGAATGTCATTAAGTTTCTGCTGGCATATACTACAGCTAAAAGACAGTCCTGTTAGATTCTCACTCTTCTGTTTCAAGAGATTCTCACAGACTGAGCTTTAACTGTTTGTCTTGCAATGTTTACTACAAAACTCCTGCATCAAAAGGTGTCTGTCCTGCATCTATTGCCTTTGCTTTATCAACAGCTTCATTTGCTTTCTTTTATAACTGGGAAGCAGTTTACTAGCTGGTGACGCATACTCATAAGAAGAATGCATAGATATCAGATCTTGCTGATTTGCACAAAAAATGTGCCAATCTGGATAAACTAGTCACACCCATTTGCGGTGGCAATAGAGAGTCCTTAAGTGTTAAACACAAAAGAATTACTATACTGTATTCTTCTAAAGAAAAAACAAAACAAGACCATTCTGTAATCCCTTCTGAGTAGAAAGAAGGAATGGTTTCTGAAGGAAAGATACACAGATTTTCATATGCAGGGTTTGGGGTTGGTTTTTTTTTTTTGGTAGTTTTTTTTAAACTTAAAATAAATAATAATATTTGGAAGCAGGAAAAAGACCTACAAAAGGCAAGTAGGAAACAATATCGCAAAGATATCTTGCTCTCAGGTCACAGTCAATAGCTCAACATAAATCACATAATGATGGGTTACAAATATATTAACAAAACAATTTAAAATGCAAGAAATTCTGCTTTGGTATAAAAAATTTGATACACACACATTCATTTGGGTCTACCCGTTTCATTTTATATTCAGATAATATTGTCAATATATTGACAGCAATGATAGTAGTTCTTAAAATGAAGATCAGGGATTTCCTTGAACACATGCACAAGTTCCACTGACTTACACGAATAAGAATTACTACTATAAAAAATAGCTATCCTTCAATTTAACAAGCAAATTCATATTTTAGAAAATGCAAATAATTTATAGAACACATAAAAATTTATTAACTGGCTCTCATCATCTTTTATTTATAAGAATAGTAACTTTCCAAGAAACAAGATTATAAAGAATCTTCTCACAGCTTTATACCTTCCAGTGCACTAAGAGATACGAGAGGGCACTTCATTACAGCAATACTAGAACCTGACATAACCTAACTTCTTGAAGTACTTTTGCATAATTAGATTTTTTTTCAGGCTCACAGTGAAGTTAAAAATAGTGCCAGTATTTACTTGACGATGCATGGATGTTGATGTTATAAAAAAAATTAAATTAACAAATACTATGTTTTGGAATATTTATTCAATTATAAATAATTTAATACTTGAAAAATTATTCGAAATGCAAACAGACCAAAAAGCATCAGGGTACGCCAGAAAGGAAACTCACATTCTTTTCACCATCAGATTAAATTACTCTGACAGCATTTTACAAGGATATTTAAAAGTTTTCTTTCCAATCCAGCGTCCTTTGCATTTGTGTTTTCTGTATCACTAGGCATTAACAGTATTTATACATTTCTAAAGACTGCAGGGAAAAAAAACCAAAAACAAAACAAAAAACTGAGCATGAGAAATATTTCGGAAGCATTTCATCAGTAGACCTCTCCCTAAATTATGTTTGCTTTCTCATAAATGTGAGAAAACCCTACACTGGGATCACTTTTCTTTGTGCCAAAATGCACTACTTATCCTGCTCCTTTAAAAATACCTATTTTCGGAAAAAGATCAACCAAGTTACGCAGCTGTACCAGGCCCAGAATTCTGAAGGCAAACAGTCAAAATCCTGTTTTCATCTCTCAAGTTAAGTCACACAAAAGCAACTAATCCAGTTTGCCAAGTATCAAGCTACATTTCTTTGGAACAAGAAAAATAATGCAACTTAAAAACAGTTCAATATTTCTGTTTTCCATGTTTAAAAACCTAACAAATGAATAAGACTTATAAAATAGTGTTTAAACATACTGTTGACAGAATCTTGCTTGTCAGCTTTGTCAGAGAAAGTCTTATAGATTGGATCACAGAAAGCGATGTACTATGGAATCACTGACTACAAGATTATGCGCCATCTCTACCAAAATGGAACACATGTACTACAAAACACAGATCATTACATATAGATATGTTTTCCACAGGCTTGGTCTAAAAAATGAAAAGTTACATCTACCCTAAAATCACAAAAGAGGAAACTCATTCAGTGATTCTTCACTCAAAAATTTTGGTTCATTTGCATTTGTGTTTCTTAATGCCCACTAAGGTATTCAGCATGGTGGTTCCCCTAATAGCACCTTTATTTTATATTTAAAGCAGCATGTTTTACAAACCCGTATGGCCTGCATACTGTTTTACCGAGTTCTAGACAACAGATTTTTGAACATAAAAGAAGAGTGCAAGTTCAACAACTCTCAGGCAAAGAAGGACATTCTCAGTGTATGAGACATTGTTCAGCACCGAAGAACGGAAAGTAACCTGGATTCTAATTTCTATTTATTGCATGAATATGTTTCAAGAACTACTGCCTGTTTATAGGAGTTAAGGCCCCACTTGTACTTCTAACAAAGGACAGTGACCTATATGCTATACTTTCTCATGTAAAGTTTGTTTTGCTGTGTGGCCTGTGTGATTACAAAATCATATTTTTAAAAAAAATTAGGATTTATATTTGTCCGTGAAGGAAATTTCAGATACACAAGGAAAACCTACAAGTATACAAGCTTTGTAAAATTTCATTAAACATGCTGAAGGGGTTTGGACTCTCGAGAAAAGCTACAGAAAATACTTGCGTTGATTTTTTTCAAGATGCTTACTAGAGATAGCAGAATTTCTGTTCAAGAAACTTTCAAGTGCTTTCTGGTTTCTAGGATCAATTGCCCATTACTGGGGGCATTATTTTGGAGGGGGGTGGGGCTGAAGCTGGGGAGAAGGGAGGTATCCTGTAGGTGTCTGTAGTTGAGAACCCAAAGTCACAGGTCCCATGGAAATCTTTATCCAACAGTTACATTCACACAGCATCCTACAGCCACTATAAAAAGTAGGATAGGAACTTATCCATGCAACTTTCTCAAAAAAAAAAAAAAACAACAAAGGGGGGCAAAGGCGGGGGGGAGGCCCAATCCTGGAAAGTCTAAACAATAAGAATAGAGCAGGTAAATAAAAATTACACAAAAAGAGCCTGCGGTAAGGAAAATCTGGCAGACAGCAGCGACCGATCTTCAGGAAAGTTTACATACTCCCACGGGGAGCGGGAGATGAGCCGATAACGGCACCTCCGTCGCTCGACTCCCCGGGGGGGATCGATGAGGCACGGCACGGCACCCCGTTGGGGACGGACTGCCGCGATTTGCCCCCGCAGGGGCCCGGCCACAAGCACCGGCGGGGCCTGACCCCTCCCCGACGGAGGGCCTACCGGGGGGTGGGGGGGAGGGCTCGGTGGGACGCGGGACTCCAGGCGAGGGCGATCCCCCTCCCCGTTCCTCACCGAATTTTGGGGAAAACGGGACTCCGGAGACAAGGGGGGGGCGGATCCTCCAGGGAAGGAGGGAGCGGGCCGAAGCGGGCGGAGCGAGCGGCTGCCGTCGGCTCGGGGAGGGGAAGGGGGGACGGGTTAACGGCACCGGGGGGCGCCCCCGAAGAGGCAGCGCGGGGTGCCGGGACCCT